GGGGGGGGCAGCGGGGTGGGTGAGAACCTACCCGGGAAGCCATCATGCCGACGCTGCTCACAGATACGCTCCATGGTGGAGTTGGCAAAGCCGTAGTTGGTCTGACCGGCGTTGCCGCGCCCACAGCTCACGGAAGAGAAGGCCACGAAGTAGTCCAGCTCTGGGCAGGCCTCCCGGGTCACCCTGCGGGCATTTCCGTCACTCTCTGCCGGCACCTGGCCCCGGGACCCCCGGCGCAGGCAGCCCAGTGACCGGGCAGGACACCCACCTGTCCAGGTGGAGAGTGCCGCTGTACTTGGGCTTGTTGACGTCCTGGAAGAGCTCTGGGGTCTGGTTCTCTAGCATGGCATCTCTCAGCACCTGTGGGGTCATTTCAGCGCTGGCCGGGGTCCTGGGCGCCACCCCTCCCCCAGGTGTCAGAGGCACTTGTTGCCCAGAACTTTCCTCACCATGGCCAGGTTGAAGACACCTCCGACAGGGCCCAGCTGTGCGGCCTCGGCGATGAGCGCCCGGGCACCCTCGAGCGAGCTGGCGTCATGGGTGGACACCAGCACCTGGACGCCCTGGCGCCGCCACTCGCAGACCTGCTTGGCCTGGTAGCCTGGGGACAAAGGCCATGAGGCAGCCGGGCCTCCGGGAGCCCCTAGGGGAGGGCCGGGGTGAGCCCCACCCCACCGCCCGCCAGCTTAGCCAGCTTACCCGTGCGGATCCCGGAGCGAGAGGTCAGCACCAGCCGCTGGGCGCCGCGCTGCACCAGCCACTGCGCGAGCTCCAGGCCAAAGCCGCCCAGGCCGCCCGTGATGACGTAGCTCTTGTGAGGTGGGCAGAAGGTCTTGGCGATGGCCGACATCATGACGGGCTGCACGCCTGGCAGCAGGGCTTCCTGCTCCTCCTCGCGCACCTGCCGCCCAGCAGAAGGCGCTCAGCGGCCGCCCCCTCCCTGCCCGGGCGGAGCCGGGCCCCTCCACCGGCTCACCTGGATGAGGACTTTGCCGATGTGCCTGCCCTGGGCCATGTAACGGAAGGCGTCCTCCACCTGGGCCTTGGGGAACACTGTGCGCTTGAGCGGCCGCACCACGCCCTCACGGATGCCGGCCTGCAGCAGCGCCGACACCTCCCGCCAGTCGGGGCTGGCCTCCTCGAACAGCGCATCCAGCAGGATGCCATGGAAGGTGACGTTCTTCAGGAAGATGGCCATGCCTGGGGGGAGGCGTGCTTGCTGACGGCCCGCTCACCCCCCCTCGCCCCCTCCCCGGCCACAGAGCCACCATCTCACCCAGTGGGTGGTTGTTGGAAAGGTCGAATTTGCCGATCTCCAGGAAGCGGCCGTGCTGAGCAAGGCACCTCACGCTGGCCTGCAGCTTCTCCTCCGCCAGGGAGTTGAGGACCAGATCCACACCTGAGACAGGAGATGGGGGCTCTCACCACCCACACCGGGGGCCGGGCGAGGGCCGCTGGGGGGGGGGAGAGGGCGGGCCGGGGCCGCTGGGGGGGGGGGAGAGGGCGGGCCTCACCCTTGCCTCCCGTGTGGCGCAGCACGTGCTGTTCAAAGGATGTGTCCCGCGAGTTGGCGAAGCTGGCATCGTCCAGCTGGGGGAAGCGGGTCCGGAGGTATGCCCGCTTCTCGGCAGAGCCTGAAGAGGGAGACACAGTGAGCCCGGGCAGGGAACCAGGGCCCGGCCCCCCAGCGGGGTGGGGACCTCACCCACGGTGGTGAAGACGCGGCAGCCCACGCTGAGGGCGATGGCGATGGCGGCCTGGCCCACGCCGCCCGAGCCGGAGTGGATGAGCACCGACTCCCCGCGCCGGACCCGACCTCGCACCACCAGTGCGTAGTAGGCGGTGGCGTAGACCACCGGCACCGACGCCGCCTCCTCCAGCGTCCTGGGGACACAGCACGGCTCCGCTCAGGGCCGCTCGCCGCCCCCACGGCGGCCCGCCCACCCGGCGGCCCGCCCACTCACCAGCCGGACGGCACGTCCCACAGGAAGTCTGGTGACAGCAGGACAGACGTCGCCAGGCCTTCCGCCGGCACTAGCCCCATCACACGCTGGCCGCGGGCGTCCCGGCCGGAGAACTCCATGCCCAGCATGCAGTCCCGGGCGGCCCACTTCCCTGGGGGGGAGGGGTCAGGCGTGAGCACAGGTCCCAGCGCCCGCCCGCCCGCCCGCCCCTCCCACCAGAGAACCGACCCGGCCGGTACCTGGGATGGCGTCGGGGGACAGCTTGCCCGTGGCCAGCATGATGTCCCGGAAGTTGAGTGCGGCGTAGTAGACGGTGCAGAGCTGCGTGCCCTCTGGGCCGGTGCCGGCGGGCGCGGCGTGCCGCAGGGGAGAGCACACCCAGCGGATGGAGGCCAGGTCGCCCCGCGTGAGGACGTTCACGAAGGCGTGCGCCGTCTGCTCCTCCGGCTTGTCTGCGGATAAGAGAGGAGGGCTGCTGTGGTGCCCGGGCCAGGGCCCAGGCCCCTTCCCTGTACCCCGCGGCAGGCGGGCAGCGCTCACCCTGCTCCAGGGGGAAGTGGCGGAAGGCGCCCCAGACCCCGTCGCGGTACACATTCATCACCAGGTCGCTGGCCAGCAGCTGCTGCAGCTCCGGCGAGCCGGGGTCCAGTGTGGGGACACGGGATGCGGGGCTGAGGTTGGACAGCAGGACGCACCTGTGGACGGCCAGCGATGAAGGGGCTAGGGAGGGAGGAGGGGCGGGGGCAGCGCGCCGGGCAGCTCGCCTACCGAATCCGGTGCCCGCCTGGCTCTTTGCGGAGACAGTTCACCAAGCCCACCACGCCCGAGGTTGGGCAGTCCGTGGCCGTCAGCCACACGGGCCGAGGAGATGACTCGGCCAAAATGTTCTGCAGAGACAGGAAATCAGCTTTGGGAAGGGGCTGCGGCCCAGGCACACCGCGCAGGTTCAGTCCCCGGGACCCACCTTCAGAGACTCCACCCACTGGAAGCCGGGGTCCTCCACCGACAGGAGGATGGGGCTGTCCTGGGGGGCGGGCCGGCGGCACAGGAAGAGCGCCGTGCCGTAGAAGGACTTTTTCAGGCCCACCAGGCGCAGGGAGGTCTTCGAGAACAGGCCCTCCCACTCTTCCTGCACGGGGGAGTGAGTGGAGTTGATGCGGCCGCCAGCCAGGCCCCCGGCCCCGCCCCGCCGGTCCCCGCAGCAGTACCTGGCTCAGTAGGCAGGGTCCATCCTGTGGCTCTGAGGAGAGGAAGGCCAGGGTCTCCCCGAGGGCGTGCCCCCGGAGCAGGGTGTGCAGCAGCAGAAAGCCGCCCTCCTTTAGGGCAGCGGCCATGTGGCCCAGCGCCAGGGCCGGGCTGCCCAGCCCCAGGGCGCAGTTGCACAGCAGGAGATCGGCGGCACCCAGGTGGCTGGGGGCGGGGCTGGTGGGGTCCCACTGGCTCTGAGCCACGTCCCTCTGCTGCAGCTCCAGGGCCTGGGGGAGGGGGTCAGTGGCCGTGTAGTCCAGTTGTAGCATGGGCTGTGTGTTGAGGAGGGCCGGGATGCGGGAATACAGGCGACCCTCTCCGGCCAGCACCTGGGGGGTGGAGCAGCGAGGACTAGCAAAACCGAGAGCTTCTCGGGGCAAACACAACGGAACCCAACAGCACCCAAAGACAGGCCTACCTCGACCACCTTCATCTTGAGGCTGGGCAGGTTCTCCATGGCGGTGTCTACGCAGGCCTTGAGCGCCCGTGAGTCGAGCAGGCCGCAGAGCAGGGGGTCCTCGGGCAGCAGGGCCCGCTCCTGGCCCAGGGCCTGCGCCAGGCCCAGCTGCAGGTTCCCGTTGAGCTGCAGTTGGCAGGCGGCCGCCAGCAGCCGAGGAAGCCCCTGCGGCGAGGGCTCCCGGAGGGCCTGGGCCCCGTCCAGCCCAGGCACCACCATTTTCAACCCTTGCTGGGCTGCCTTGATCTGCAGAGCCTTCGTCAGCCCTGCGGAGGGGAGAGGGGGCCGTGTCCCATGAAGCTCCCGCTGCCTCCCAGAGCCCACTGTGGCCTGTCCCCAGGTAGACGGCGGGAGGAGCCGAGAACTAGCTGGGGGTGAGCGGTAGCGGCCTCAGGACGTGGGTGTGGGAGTGGCCTTTTCTGTCTATGGTCTGCATCCCCAGAACTCCATCAAGACTGAGGCCAGGTGCGCAGCTGCAGCCGCAGACCTTGGCCGGCACCCGAAGGCGCCTGGTCTGTCCCGGCCACGGGCCCAGCACTGGCCAGGCGGGGCCTCACCCATGCAGAGGCGCAGCTCCTCCTGCAGGGTGCCGCTCTCCCACAGGCACCCCGGCTCCACGTGCGGCGTGAAGCAGAACGTCTCCAGGGTGGGTGTCAGCTGATCCTGCTGCCTCCGTGGGGCTGCCGACGTGTGGAGCCGCGAGATGTGGGCGCCGCCGGCCACCGTGCTGCTCAGACAGTGGTTCACCACCACATCCGCCACTGTGGGGGTGTACGTGGCCGTGAGCGGGCAGGCCCAGCGGGGACATGGCCAGTATGTGGGCCAGGGAGGGGCCAGTTACCTTGGGTCTGGCCCTGAAGCGTGTACAGCTTGCGCAAGTGGGTGGCGGGGTCGATGTGGATGGCAGTGAAGCGGGTGGGCAGGTGCAGGCTGCGCCGGCTCAGGCCCAGGATGGACACCTGCAGCATGGTGTCCAGGAAGGTCACCCAGTTATCCTTCCAGAGCAGCTTGCCTGAGCTCCCTGCGGCAGAAGGACTGGTCAGCCCCCTCGAGCCTCACCGCCCCAGCCTGCAGGACAGCCGCGGGATGCCCTCACGCACCCTCGAGGCTGGCGTCCAGGATGCCCTGGAACTGGGGGCCATAGTCATAGCCGCGCAGGCGCAGTGTTTTGTAGACGTCCGCCTGGGTCAGGCGGGGGGCAGAGGCGGGCTCAGCGGGTTCCAGGCCTTCGGGGTGGTCGAAGAGCGTGGGGTCTGGATTCTCCCACAGGTATACTTTTCCTGAGTGAGGAGCAGGAGGGCCCTGGTCTGAGCAGGCTGGTGCCAGCGCCCTGCCCCCAGGTCCGGCTGGCCGACTCACCGCTCACGATCAGATTCCCGCTGTCAGACACCTCGAAGGTGTGGGAAGCCTCCAGCAGCCGCACCTCCAGGGACACGGTTCCTGTGGAGGGGCGGGGTTAGTCGGCACCCCCCCCCCGCCCCTGCCCCTCTCCGGAGACGCCCTCACCTGTCTTGGGTAAGATAGTGGCCTGATGCAGAGTCACGTTCTCGAACACCACAGGCGTCTGCTCCAGGGTCAGGGACAGGCTTCGAGCCAGCGTCCTCCACACCAGGTACAGGTAGCCGGTGGCGGGGAACAGGACCCGGCCGTCGATGCGGTGGTCCACCAGGTAGTGGTCCGTAGACTCAGGGCTGGTGTCTGCAGGGAGGCAGTGGGGCTCAGTGGCTGCCCGTCCACCCGAGGAGCCCACCCGCGGCCGGGCCGACTCACCCATGTTATAGATGGTGGCGGACGAGGAGCTGTTCCCACTGGGGAAGTCGGTGGCGGCTGGCACATCCCAGGTCTGGCTGTGGTCCCACTTGATAGAAGGGGAAATGAGCGGGGTCCCGCGGGGGGCGGGCAGCTCCATGGGTGGGAACAAGCCGTTTGGGTTGACGTCGATGCTAGACGGGGAAAGGGAGCTGTGAGCAGTGCACTTGGCCCGCCCACGCCCCATGCCCGGGGTGTGTGTGTGCATGCGCGGATGCTGCGCATGTGCGTGTGTGTGCACAGATGCGGCCGGCCGGTGGGCGGGAAGAGGAGCTGGCGCTCACCCAGTGAGGTGCAGCTTGCCGAGGTTGGTGAGAAGGAATTCCAGGTTGTCTCTGTGGTCCTTCTTCATGAGGGGGATGATGGTGCAGCTGGTCTTCACGCCTCGCTTCAGGACGGCCTGGGGCCAGGCAGGGCAGAGGGGGGGCTTGACCACCATGTCCCTGTCCCCAAGCCGGCAGGGCTGACCCCAGCCCCTCCCCCCGGCAGGCGGGTGCACACCTGTAGCAGGGCGTGGGACGCGATCTCCAGCACCACGGCATGCTCAGGGATGTGCCGCAGGGCCTCCTGGAAGAGCACGGGGCTCACCAGGTTGTTCACGTTGTACTCTGCGGAGGACGTCTGCGCAAGGCTGCTCCCCCACTGAGCCTCCGGAATGGAGGTGCTCAGCCAGCGCACTGATCGAGGCCGGGGACTCCGGATCACCTGCACACAGGAGCTGGTCAGCACCCACTGCCGGGGCCACTCCTACCTCCGGGGGCCAAGAACCCCCGGCACCCACCTTCTTGAGGGCCTGCAGCAGTGTGGGGGCGATGGACTCCATGTAGTAGGAGTGGAAGGCAATGCCCCCTGTCCGCACCTCCTTGGCGAACACGCCGTCCTGCTTCAGCTGCTCCACAAACTTGCTCACCGAGGCCTGGGCAGAACAGGCGGTCAATGGGGCCTCGGCAGGCGGTGTCCCGGGCCCCCCACTCAAACCAGGTCTTGGAGCCGGTGGGCTGCAGAGTTCCCCCAGGGCCAGCAGAGCTCTGGGGATGTGTGTGGCCTGGTGAACCGACACCGGGGCCTGGTCCCCGTGGGGCCCGCCCCGCCACGGGGCCCACCTGAGGTCCAGAGACGGTCACGGTGTCCTCGGAGTTGTGGCAGGCTGGTACGACACCGGGGGGGCACCTCTGCTTACACTCCTCCCAGGACAGGCCTGTGGACACAGCCTGACCATGAGGGGATCTGGCCCACCCACCCGCCTTTCTGAGCAGGGAGAGCGTTGATGGGCTCAGAGGAGGAGGACATGAACGGAGGCCATCCAGCCCCCGCCTCATCCGGTCGCCTGCGGGAAGGGGCATGGACGGGTGGCAGGTGAGCTCAGCAGGGCGACCCAAGGCCCAGGAGGGAGCGCAGGGCCTCGTCCTGCTGCCCAGTCCCAGCTGGAGCGAGTCCCCACGGGTAACACAGCAGTCATGGGGCAGGGTGCCCAGGGGCCCGGCCCGGGGGGAGACCTACCCACAGCTGCCATGGAGCCGGACGGCAGCTTGGCCTCCTTGATGCACTGGCCTCTCCAGTAGGCACAGAGCACAGCTTCTTCCTGCGACAGGCACCCGTCGGCGTAGCCGCAGGCCACCTCCCCCAGAGAGTGCCCCACGATGCCGTCTGGCTTTAGGCCCACGGAAGTCAGTAAGTCGATGAGGGCAATCTGTGGGGAGGGCAGGGCATCTGAGGCCGCCCCCCCTCCCCACCCGAGCTCGGTGGGCCAGGCCTCTTAGGCCTCTTTGGAAGCCTGGACTTGTGCCCAATTAAAGGCACATGGTGCCCAAGGACCGAGCAGGGACAGGGCTGAGTGGTGTGGTGACCGCAGCTCTGCTGCGGGGCAGAGCCCTGGGACCCCAGACCTGGCGCCAGGTGGGCGTCTACCTGGATGGCCGTGAGGCTCACGAAGGCGTGCACGATATCATCAAAAGAGTTCTCCTGGTTGCTCAGCAGCTCCGACACCTTCACTCCCAAAGGCTTCAAGGCCTCGTCTGAGCGCAGGATGGAGTCACGGAAGCTGTCCAGGCGCATGAGGCTCAGCCCCATTCCACGCCACTGCGTGCCCATCCCTGTTCCAGACAGATCGTCAGGGCCGGAGCCATAGCGGTGTCCTGCGCCAGGGAGCGGCCCACGGGCCCGCGGGGGGCTCGAAGGGGGACTCACCTGAGCAGATGAACCAGAGGGGGCGCCTGCCCGTGGAGACTTGCTGTACCTCCTGGCTGCCGCCTTCCACGCCCAGCACCGCGTAGCCCCTGAAAGGCATGGCTGTGGGAGCGGTAGCTGCGATGTCGTTGAGCATGCTCAGGAAGGCCAAGTCCTGGCTGTGCCGGCGGCCCTGGTCCAGCAGGCTCTGCACGGCCTCGGGGGTGCGCCCGCTGGCCTGCAGCAGGCGGGGCAGGGCGGCGTGGGGGGCGGGCTCGGGGGGACGCTGGGTGTTGGGCTGCAGGATGACGTGCACGTTGCAGCCACCAAAGCCGAACGAGTTGATGCTCACCAAGCCACCGCGGACAGGCAGGGGCCGGTCCACCACCTGCAGCCGCCCGTCACGCAGGGCTGGAATGGCAGGGTTGGGGTTGTGGAAATGCAGGTTGGGGGCCCAGAGCCCGTGTTCCAAGGACAGCAGCACCTGTGGGTGGAGCATGACAGTGGGCAGCCGACTGCCCTCACCTGGGAGCTGCACGCTCCAGCGGTCAACACGAGACCCTCCCTGCTTTGGACCTTGTGCCCTGTGCTCCCCACCCTGATAGAAACCAAGGAGGGGGCCCCCCCACGGGACGCTAACCCTCCAGACAAGCCACGCAGGCCCCTGGCTCTTCAGCAGGGCCAGGCTGGAAGCCCCGGCCCCTGGCTGTGCAGGTCGTCATCGGTGAAGTGTGGGCACTCCAGAACAGCTATCTGCCTGTGCCGGCCCCAGGCCTCTTCCCATTCTCAGGTCCAGCACACGGTCCCAGCCCCAGAGACATGCCTGCCCCCAGCCGGTGTCTAATCCTCATCCCATCAAACTGTTCAGCAGGACCTCCAAGCACAGGAGCCGTCCGGGAGGGCAGAATCCCACATTCCCCCGGAGTCAGGCCGGGGCTCCTGTTTCAGAGCACAGACCAGCGTGGCTGTGGGGGGGCCTAGCTGGCCCGGGGGTCCAGAGCCTGTCCCGCTCACCTTGGCCAAGGCTGCCAGCCCCGACGCAGGCTCAGGGTGCCCCATGTTGGACTTGGTGGACCCGATCAACAGGGGGTCCTTGCGGGAGGTACACAGGGCCTCATCGATGCCGTTCAGCTCTTGGGGGTCGCCCACCTGTGGGGCGGGAGGTGAAGGGTGAGCCAAGGGGCCTCCGGCAGAGGTGGGGCGTCACAGGTGGGGGCCGGGGGGGGGCCTTTCCTCACCTTGGTGCCGGTGCCATGGGCCTCGATATACTCCAGGGCCTTAGGGTCCAGCCCGGCCGGCAGGTACATGGACCGCAGGAGCTGCTCCTGCACCTCCCCGGAAGGGAAGGTCACACCTGCGTGGCGGGAGAAGTCAGCGTCAGCCCCTGTGGCTGCCCCAGCCCTGCGGCTTGCAGTCCCCGTGCCCACCTTGCTCCTTGAAGCCGTCTGTGTTGGTGCCAGCATTCAGGATGGTGGCGTACACCCGTCGAGCCAGGGACTTCTTCAGCAGCAGCATGGCCACCACGGCCTCCGACCGGCAGTACCCATTTCCTGGGGTGGAGCAGAGCCTCAGCAGGGCCCGGCCACTCGGGACGGACCGTGAGCCCACTCCTGGCAGGGCGAGGGCAGGTCTCGCCCAGGGCCACCCTGCCGCCTCACCTTCGGCGTCGAACGACTTGCAGGTGCCCTCAGGGCTCAGCATGCCCAGCTTCATGAACTGCACCGAGGTGTTGGGCTTCAGCATCAGGTTGATGCCGCCCACCAGGGCAGCAGGACACTCGCCGCTGCGGATGGCCTGGTAGGCGCTCTGCAGGGCCAGCAGGCTGGACGAACAGGCTGTGTCGATGGCGGTGCTGGGCCCTGTGGGCAGGGCCAGAGGCAGGTGTGGGCGTCCCGGGGCAGCCACCCTGGCCCAAGCAGCACGTGTCCCTGGGCGCCACGCGGCTCACCTCGGCGACCCAGAGCCAGGCAGTGCTGCCCCCCACCCGACCCGAGGCTGGGACACCCTACCTTTGAAGTCAAAGAAGAAGGAGAGTCGGTTGGCCATCATGGCGCGCTGGCAGCCCACCATGCTATAGCCCAGCAACGTCTCCGGGTCTCGGCTCAGGGCCTCAGAGGCCTCTGAGCCACTCACTCCCACCCAGACGCCGGTGTGTGTCCCTCGGAGCCAGGCAGGGTTGATGCCTGTCAGAAGCGGCAGTCAGGCCCAACTCTTGAGTGGAGGCCTCGGGCCCTCAACCCAGCAGGCTGGGGTAAGAGCAGGCCCGAGAGGCCTGAGCAGGTACTGCCAGGGGTGGGCAGCCAGCCCAGGTAGGGCTGAGAAACGAGAAGTAGGTCACAGAAGAAGTGGGGCACCAGGGGGCAGGCTGGGGCCCCAAGGCCTGGGTCAAAGAGCAACCAAAGCAAGGACAGAGGCCAGCACTGTCCCCAGCAGCACTGTGGCCGCTGTCACTGGCAGGCTTGACAAGCCTGCTGGGCAAGAAGCAGGCCGACATGGAAGGCGGCCTGCTTCGGGACAGACTGAGATAAGGAGCTGCGGGGGAGACAAAGGCCGAGTGTCCGGGCCGGGGAGGAAGAGGACGCTGCGCAGAGACTGGGCAGCAGAAGGGCCTGAAGCAAAGGCCCCCACCGTGGAGGCCGGCGGGGGACACGCTGCTGGGCCTGCACTGCACCGAGGCTGGGGTGTAGATCTGGGCTCCATGGCTAACCCCAGTTCCAGCTGGCATCTAGAGACCAAGGCCTACCCTCGTCATCTCCACGCTGGCCGCCCACTGGGAGACTGGCCCAGGAGAGGCTTGGGTCATGCCCCAGGCTGCTGGGCAGCTGAGTGGACAGGGCCATCTGGAGAGCCGTACGGGGAAAAGCACAGCTCTTCACAAGCAGGCCGAGAAGCCAGAGCTGCCAGCTCCACCCGCACCTGCAGACCGGCCCCACACCAGGCTGTGAGCAGACCCGTGACAGGGCGCGTCTGGGACACTGGGGGGGCCCCACCTGAGCCACGGTCCACATTGGGGCCGGGACCAGGGAGAGGCAAGCTCATGCCATGCTTTCCTGAACGAAAGCCACTGCTACGGCACTTTCTTTCCTTTTCCTCCCGGCAGTGCAAGAACCCAGGGCCTCGTACACCAATGCTGAGAGGAGCACAGTGGCCCATCCCAGAAAGTTCTACCTCGGCAGAAAGTTGTCTGTGCATGATCCCCTCCCCCACAGGGCCCTGGGAAGCAGCAGCAAACCCCAACTCACCTCCGTCAACAATCGCCTCATAGGCCACCTCCAGCAGCAGCCGGAGCTGGGGGTCCATTGTGTGCGCCTGCTTGGGATGCACCCCGAAGAAGGACGCGTCGAACTTGGATATGTCCTTCAGCTTGCCGCTTCTCCGGGGCAGCCCGTAGAGCCCTGTGAGTCAGAGCAGGCAGGATGCCCCCTGAAGGAGCCCAGGGGCACTGCAGGCCCCGGGCACCCAGGCCACTTGGGAGAGGTCCCCTGGGAGTGGGGGACCCCAGCTGTGAGACCCTCTGCCTGGCGCGGGGCTGGTGGAGCCAGCTGCAGCACGCTGACTCACACCCCACACCCGTCCATCAGGTAGGGCGGCTCTGGGCGTGAGAATCAAGCCAGCCTCCCCGGCCGTGCTGCGTGCCAGCTCAGGGCACAGGCCATCTTGCCGGCATGAGCAGGGGGTGGCCCGGTGGGGGGACCCAGTCCCCTTGGCCTAAGGGGGAGAGGAAGGGGTGGGGATGGAGGACGCTCAAGGCAGGACTGTCAACGGAGCTGTGTTGTGTGGAAGCCCTCTAAGCACCCTACTCCAAAAAGCACCCCAGCTCCAGAGCCTTTCCTGCAGCCCGCCCACCCCGAGGTCCCGCTGGGCTGCTCACCGGCCTTCCATCTCCGGTCGTCCTCCGTGATCATGTCCACACCACCAATGAGGTTGGCCCAGAACTCCTCCAGGTTCTCCGACTCGGGCAGCTTCCCGGACATTCCAGCAATCACGACCTCCTCCATGGTTCTGTGGGTTGGCCGCGTGGTCCAACATTAGTCCAGCGGTACTGCTTCCTGCCTCTGCCCTCCCCCGTGCTGGAGCCCTGACCTGGTGGTACCCACCCAGGTAATGACCTGGAATGACCCTGCCGTGCTCGGCAGCCCCAGATCCCCAACGGGACGGGAGACACACAACCCCAGGGGTCGGGGGAGGCGCGAGGGGGCGGAGTGCCGAGGAGCTCCCCTCGGGGCAGGCCACCCTGAGCCAGGGCTGCCTCCGCCTCCTCCCACCGGCCCGGGGAGATCGGGGCCGAGGCCTAGCCCGGACAGGGTAATGCGGCCCCCGGCTCAACCGCCGCCCTCCGGCCA